CTCGCTATAGGGTCGAATTAGGCTGGAATCTATACTGGAGAGCTTTTGACCTGTAACACAGACTAAAACTCTAGCCCCTTGGTTAGTCACGTAATAAAGAGACATTCCAGCATCCTAACATGATACCCCCCCATTCCAATCATGACTCAGTCCCTGTATCTCAGAGCCCTCTAGGCTCCCTCTTGAAAACTTGTAAGCCAGTTACTTCTTGCCTTTGTAGCCCTGCCATTTTGGGTAGCCAATGTCCAAGTTGCCCATCCCTGTCTGTCTTGTGTTTGGAGGGGGTGGGAATGATCCTCGCTGTAAAGATTTGTTCCCTCTTTTGAGTTACTGCATCCATAGGTGTTGGTCAAGTTCATTAAATTGTATCAGATTACTCTTTTTTTTCCCCCCTCATCTTCTTCTAGTCGAGTTCTGATCATCCAGTCATTGAAGCCAGGTCAAGTGGGTATTATCTGCAAGTGTGGGTGTTCTTATGCATATGCCCTCAAAACTTTTTGTCAGCCGGACGCTTCACTCTCCACTCTAGTCCTCTGTGACTATATCACTGACTCTGGGCCCAGGAGTTCCCAGGTCTTGCCATACTGCTGGCCAACCAGGTTTCCACCCGGGTTCACAGGAGTCTATTGACTGTGGTCAGACTTAGTTCAGTTTCATTGTTGTTTTTTCCTCACTTTCCCTTATCGATGACCAACGTGGTCACCAGTCAGGCAGCATTCCTGCTCGTCGTGTATTCCCCTTCAGCCTTAGTCTTGGAAGGAGGTTTTCCCTGAGGGGACCCAACCACTTGCCTTGATGTCTCCTGGGCAAGCAACTTGCTTGTTCTTGTAGTAGTCACTTGGACTGCCGTTACTGTTTTGTAGTTTTCCTGTTGATCTTTCTTTCAAGAAGTATCTTCTGTTCTTCTAGTCACTCCAAGCTGGTCTGCTTGTCCTTTCAAGTGGAGATTTCCCACCTCAGAAGATTCTGGATGTGGTTTAGGATTCCACATATGGTCTTACACAATGGAAAGGCTCTGCAGGAAACCTCCTTCACTGGGCATGTTGTAGGCCCATTTTAGGTATTCCAGTCAGTTATAGACAAAAGACGGATATACAGGCTTTCTATGGTGATATTTCTGGCTATTCCTTTCTCTCCCCTTCAAGTGTCTTTACCATCCTCCCATCTAAGGAACATTCTGGCAGACCCTTTCAAGACAAATTTATTCTTTTGGCCTCCTAGGGTATATTCAGTATTCTTAGCCAGCACTACAATCCAAAAGCATCAAATCTTTAGTATTCCTTATTCATTGTCTAGCATTCACATGTATATGAGGTGACTGAAAGTGTAGTTTGGGTTAGGGGCACCTTAATTCTCAAAGTAACTTTTTTTTTTAAAAAAAACATTCGGCGAATTTTTCCAGTGCAATATGTGGTTTGATTTCCTGACTCCTGCTTCCATGGACATTGATTGTAGATCCGAGTAAAATGATTCCTTGACACTCAAGTCTTTTTGTTGTCATTTATTGTGATGTTGCTTATTGGTCCAGTTGATTATAATCAGTCTATACTGAAGACTGTCTTTGGTCTGCATCAGTGAGTGCTTTTAGTCCTCTCCACTTTTAACAAGCAAGATTGTGTCATTTGCCGATAGCCAGCTGGTAATGAGTCTTCCGCTAATCCTGATGACATATTCTCTTCAGAGAGCCCAGCTTCTCGGATTCCTTCCTAGAGGCCACCTGTCTCTAGTCCTGTAAGATGGAAATCCAAATGCCTGGTGGTCAGAAGCGAAGATAGTCTGTTAGGAAAATTTGTGTGTAACTGTAAAGCTTATTAAGATGTTAAATTTGTATTTTTTGCCTCATACGTTAGAAAACTATTTAATCAAGTAGTCTGAAATGTGATATTAGATGGGAGTAGAACAATTTTGAAATCTTATAAAACTGGAAACATTTCCTTGTATTTTTTTTCCACCTCAGAGTGTTTTGTTAATGAGACATTTTATACTGCCATCCACCCAGGGCAGTAATAAAGGTGTTGATTGGTTTTTGGATGATGAGGGGCTTCTCTAATTGCTGAAGTCGACATTTGTGTCCCTCCTGTTGTAGGTGAGCAAGGCTTGGAAGGTGACTGCAGAAGATGAAGTGCTCTGGTTCCGGCTGTGCCAACAGGAGGGGCACCTCCCTGAGAGTAGCATCTCCGATTATTCTTGCTGGAAGCTCATCTTCCAAGAGTGCCGAGCCAGGGAACACATGCTAAGAACCAACTGGAAGGTAAGCAGTGGCCAATATCATTACCTGTAGAAGAATAGCCAACAAGGGCACGGGAGTCCAAGTGGGGATTAAACTCAGTCCCTTGAATTACGGCCGGAGGTTAATTGCCAACAGCCCCTCAGCTGTAGGTGTTTTGTTTTGTTGCCCATTTGTTATCCATTAGAGTATTTGCCCCATTTTCACCCACATGATTGGGAGCATCCTCTTGTTCTCCAGGAGAGGAAGGGTGAGTTTGGATGCCAGCCAATGGCCCTCTGATGGTTAGGATCTTTCGGTAACGTTGCCCCTTCCTTTCACTTACACCAACTCTCGGGACAAAGAAAGCAAAAGCATCACCTGAATACAAAAGAGGAGCTGCACAATGTTAGTTCCAGGAAATGCAAAAGAGAAATTATTAAATGTCTCCAAGTACTGTCTTCTTTTCCCTCATATAACCTATTGGCTTGCTTCCATAACATTTATCACTTCGAAATCTCTGCAGAAATATTAGATCACAGCTCGAAATCTGCACAGTGAAGTGTTTCTATAGGAAATAGCTGTCTAGAACAGCGTTACATAAAGCTGTTTGAGGCATGACAAGACACCAGAGCGGTGACCGTGTCTCTCTTTACCTGGTTATTTCCAACTAGATCATCAACATCTACCAGGGGTGGAATGATGCTTTCTTTCCTCCCATAAAGGTCAATCCTAATAGACTTTGAGGTTAACAAGCTTTTGCTCATTGCTGATAGTGACATATTGCCTGTGTGCATGCCTGTCCCCAGTCATCTCATAACCTCATTAGTGACAGATCTTCCTGACAACAGTATTTCTCTAGTCCCGGGTTTCTTGACCACAACCCTACTGCCATTGTGGACCAGATATTTCTTTGTGGTGGTGTGGGGGAAGGGAGTGCTGTTCTATGCATTATAGGAGGTTGAGCAGCATTCCTGGCCTCTACCCATTAAATGTCAAAAGTATTTTCTCTCCCTCTTCAGTTGTAGTAACCAAAAACATCTCCATATATAGTCCAGTGTCCCTAGGGGACAGAATCAGCCTTTGCTGAGAACCACTGTTGTAATGACAGTTGGCATAGTTATTTTTTTTTAGGCCATTAAGACACCACTGCAGAATAAAATCATGCCGGTCCTCCAGGGTGTGTTTGCATCCACGTAAGGTGATCAGCTCATCTTTTGGGTATTCACTTAGCCCTCCTGTGTGCAGGCCTGATTCGGCCAGTATAAGGGACATGAGTGAAAGTAAGGGAAGGAGATGTGACAAGGAAGTGGTGTAGACAAACGGGATCTAACTCTGGGTGGAGGAGCGGGGCTGGACGGGCATTAACTGGGGCCTCAGTCCAGAAAGAAGGGAGAGTTTAAGGGGGATTTGTGAGTATGGCTGGCAGAGATAGTCATTACCCCCTGGCTCAAACTCAGGGAGGAAGTAGCAGCTAAGATTTTGCTTCCTCATTTGGAGCATAGTCTCCTCATTTGGGCAGAAGGTGGTGGAAGTGAAGATGTTTAAAGACCCACCTCAGATATTTGGCACTTAATAACAAGTTGTGTACAATTTAACGGAAAGTCTGTTTCCGTTTTTCTCTAACAAGCACAAAGCCGTATGCACAGTGATGCTGAATACCACCATGAGTGAGTGAACTGGAGTAAAAGTGCAGGTGAAATGTAAGGAAGACTTCTATTTGGAATGTCTCAGGCCAGTTTCCCGACATTGTTAATATCAAGGACTGCATAAGTGAAATTTTGAATGATGAATCTTCCCTTCACTGTAATGGTGGGGCTCTTACTACAGTTTTAGAATGAAAGCCCTATAGAAACCTAACCAACAGTGTTAGAGGCAGCTGCTTGACCTTGATATGCCTCTGTTCTCACATCTGTAGTGCAGGGCTCACGGGAGCAGGAATGCCCTGCTTACGGGCTGGTGGTGAGGGTGACTGTAGCTGCTTCGCCTGTGCCTTCCACAGAGCATAATCAAGTTCAGTGCTGATTTGTGTTGGCCGTAGATGCTGTGGGGCTGTGTACCTGATGTAGTGCTGCTTCTCCTGGGCCGAGCTGCTGGGAAATCTTTGAAGAAAGTCAGAATTGTCTGTGGAATCTCCACACAGGGGATGACTTGCAGGAACTTACCTGGGCCTGCAGTTCAGACTCCTTTGAGATTGTAGGCTCTCTCAGATTAGAGTAGCAGTGTGGACACAGAGCCCATAGAACAGAAATGGAGGAGGGCTGGGAGCACACAGACTTTCTTTGCAGCAGCTCGCCTCTCTACCCATGTCTGTTCCTGCCAAAGAGTTGTTCTGTTCTGCTCACCTGGGCTGTGACCCTCACACAGAGTCCCAAACCCTCATCTTTCCCTCGTGCTCATCCTAGCAGGAAAGCTCTACTTGGATGTATTTCATTTGATCCCTCCGCCTGAGACTTGGCCCATAGGCTAAGTAAGATCATTATGCAGATAATCAAATATCATACACAGTGCCGGGACACAGCCACTTAATAAATGATAATTTTAAGCAGAATGGATGTCATCATCCTCTCCCAATAATATCAATAATAGTAATAGCAGCTGCCACTTATTGAACACTTACTGTATGCTTGCACTCATACACATTAATTTGAACTCTTGTGCCAGTTCTGCAGAGCTGAAATTGCAGGTTACTTGATATTTTTATAAATACCTTTATCCATGTGTGCTTTTTGGGTCTCACTGTCTTCTTTCCTACCTTCTTTGTGTAAAAAGTTTATATTCATCAAGATTCCCCTTATTTTTACCTTACAAATAATTGCATAAACCCATTGCCATCCAGTCCATTCTGACTCATAGTCCCCGTAGGACAGAGTACAGCTGCCCCATAAGGTTTCCAGACTGCCACATCTCTCTCCTGCAGAGTAGCAGATGGATTTGAACCACCATCCTCTTGGTTAGGAGTCCAGTATTTAACCACTGTACCCACCAGGGTGCCTAAAATACATACATGTATATATGTTGTTGTTATTGTTAACTGTTGTTGAGTCGGTTCTGACACATAGCAACCCTCTGTAGCCGAGGAACGACTGGTGGGTTTGAACCACTGATCTTGTGGTTAGCAGTCCAGTGCTTACCCTACAGCGCCACACTCTTGTGTATGTGTATGTACTGTAGGATAAGCATTGGACTGCTAACCACAAGGTAAGCGGTTCAAACCCACCACCTGCTCCTTGGAACCTCCCCCACATAGTGTTGTTATGAGTCAGAACCAACTCAACAGCGCTTAACACAATACACACACACCTATGGCCAGGCTTCAAAAAGTTTGTGGTGAAATGGAACTAACAGTTAATGTAATTTTTCCACGAACCTTTTAAAGCCCCATCATGTGTGTGCATTTTGTGATCAATGAAAAATTATCATAGTACGATAATTTAAAATTCTCACTTCTCTTCACCTTCCACTTAGTCTCCCACCTCTGTAGGTACCCGTTACACAGACTTTTAGGGATTTCCTTTAGATATTATTTCCAGGAAACCTCTTACCTCTCAATCAGAAACAATTTCCTCTCCTCCCCAATACGGGTTTTCATCTATTTGTGTCTGTGTGTGCAAGTGTGCATGTATAGATGTGTATGTGTGTATATATATGTGTGTGTATGTATAGATGTTTATGTGTGTGTGTATGTATAGATGTGTATGTGTGTGTATATGTGTGTGTATATGTGTGTGTATGTATAGATGTGTATGTGTGTATATATATGTGTGTGTATGTATAGATGGGTATGTGTGTATATATATGTGTGTGTGTATGTATAGATGTGTATATGTGTGTATATATGTGTGTGTGTATATATAGATGTATATATATGTGTGTGTGTGTGTATGTATAGATGTGTATGTGTGTATATATATGTGTGTGTGTGTGTATGTGTGTGTGTGTGTATGTATAGAATGTTATTTTTTTTTTTAGGGAATCACTCAATACCTCCTCTTCTCTGAACTGGACTTTTGCTATACTTTATATACAGATAGTCTCTGACTTAATGACAACTTTCATTCTGACAACTCTCTTGTAACTTGGTTCCCATATAAGTCCAATACCATTGTTTTTGTGCATGAAATTTTACCTGTTACTGACTTTTATTGTCAGTTTCTTTATCAATCTAGTCTTTAGGTGTCTTTGCGGATTGGACACCTTACATATAAAAATCTGCCAGTGAACATCTGAGAATAATAACTTTGGCCAGTTGCATGTTGCAGCAGTGTAGGTACTACAAAGCTAGAACAACCCAACAGACGTTTGTAAGTGTCATAAACTGCGCACTGCCTGTACTTGCCACTGTCAACAGATACTTAGTAGTGTAGTGCATTTTGCACATATTTGCTTTACTATCCTGCATTCAATCTCTTTTAAAGGAGACTTGGTGGCACTACGGGTTAGGCATTGGGTTGCTAACCAAAAGGTCAGCTGTTCAAACCTACCTGCCACTCTTTGGGAAAATGATGAGGCTGTCTGCTCCTGCAGAGGGCCACTTGGAGTCAGAATTGACTTGACAGCAGTGAATGTGGTGGCATAGTGGGTTAAGCAGTGGGTTGCTAACCACAATTGGTAGTTCAAGCCCACCAGCCACTCCTTGGGAGCTTCTGCTCCATACAGATTTACAGTTTTGGAAGCCCTGTGGAGGAGTCCTGGTGTGGGTCAATGCGCTGCAAAATCACTTTGAACTGTGATGTCGGTGGTTCAAGCGCATCAGCTGCTCCTTGGAAACCCTATATATACAGAGTCACTATGGGTCAGAACTGACTCGATGGCATCTAACAGCAACGGCAGTGGAGCAGTTCTGCACTTACTTACAGGGTCACTGTGGTTCGGAATCAACTCAGTGGCAGTGGGTTGGGTTTGGTTTTGGAGTCTCCTTAATGACAGGGACAGCAGTTTACTTCTCTCCCACCAGAGTACAGTGCCTTTCATGGATGGCATGGTCACTTGGAAATACTCCATCTCATACCATATCAGTTGTCATTTTCCTTTCGAAGGTCAGGTTGACTTGGAATGCAGTGTATGCTGTCACAAGTTGTTATGGACTGTTGTTATAGGGAATGTTTGTTGTTGCCGAGTGTCATCCAGTTGGTTCCGACATCTAGAAACCCTGTATAGGGTTTCTGAGGTGCGGCTGGTGAGCTTGAACTACCAATCTTGTGGTTAGCAGCCATCGAACTTGTGGTTCAAATGAATTTTGCAGTCCACCACGTTAATCTACAGGGCCACACCTGGACTCCTGGAATGTAGGAGGAAGCTAATTGATGTACCCTTATGCCATTCACAGAAGGGTATAAATCTCACCTCCCTTTGTCCTTCTGCAGAATCGCAAAGGTGCCGTGAGTGAGCTGGAACATATTCCTGATGCAGTTTTATGTGACGTACATTCACATGATGGCGTGGTCATTGCTGGGTAAGTGGAAAACTTTTTTTTTTTTTTTTTTTTAATGTAACGCTCTTCCTCATGAGACCTTTCCTTTTTCCTGTACCCAGTCTAAGTGCTGGTGACTTTCTCCCCTTGAGAGTCTGTGCTTTTCTCAGTCATAACCCATACTTAAGGTGGAAAATCTATGAGTCTGTTCTCTAGCATTTGAGATGTGTGGGCTTTGAAGTTAGTGCTGAGAAGCAGGTAGCGTTGAGCAGATCTGTAACCCGTTTGTCTCAGTACGTCTTTTCTCACTTTTAAATCACTCTTTTGGTGTATAATGTTAGATTTCCATTTCGGTAAACAGTTTGCATTTTATGAAGACATAAAAAAGTCAAGAATAATAAGTGTTGGCATAAAGTGGGTCTTTCTTATTGTCATTTTTCTGAAAGCTTTATCGTGAGGAAGAAGTGTGGCCACACAAAGCCTTCCTTTCCCACCACATCGTACATATTTGCTATTTAAGTTGTCCTGAAATATACTCTTTATGTGTCTCCATGGGAAGAAATTTCATTTTCACCTCTGTAAATCCCTTTGGCTTCTAGTCCAAAAACCACGTTCATGAATTCTTCATATTTTGCTAGAGATACATTTATGCCTTTCTTTAATGTACAATAAAAAGATCAATATTCTTTTTGGACTAGGAAGGCTGTCTTGAACTACAGTCTCAACACATACACTTACTGCCATTTTTGAATCTGACTTGGTTTTGGAGTGAGTCACCTAGGGGAGGTTCTGAGAGAGTTGTTCAGTGGGTCCTGACTCATAACAACCGTGCATACAACAGAAGGAAACTCTGCCTGGTCCAGAGTCATTTTCATAGTGATACTCAAGCAGCTGTGTCAATCTGTCTCATCTCTGACCTTCCTCTTTTTCATGAATATTCTCCTTTACCAAGCATGCCTTTCTCCAGCGATTGTTTTCTCTTTACTAATTTGTCCAGGTTGTTACTAGGTATTGTTGAGTCGCTTCCAACTCATAGTGATCCTATGTCCAACAGAAAAAAACACTGCCTAGTCCTGTGCCATCCTTACAATTGTTGTTATATTTGAGCCTATTATTGAAGCTCCTGTGTCAGTCCATCTTACTGAGGGTCTTCCTTTTTCTTGCTGACCCTCTACTTTACCAAGCGTGACATCCTTCTCCAGAGACTGGTCCCTCCTCATATCATGCCCAAAGTCTATGAGACCATATCTCACCACTCTCTCTTCAGAGAAGCATTCTAGCTGTACTTTTTTCAACACAAATTTGTTGGTTTGTCTGGCAGTCAGTGGCATATTTAATATTCTTCACCAACCTCATTATCAAAAGCTCCGATTCTTCTTCAGTATTCCTCATTTTCCACAATTTGCATGCATATGAACTGATTGAAAACAACATGGCTTGGGTTAGGCACACCTTAGTCTTCAAAATGACGTCTTTGCTTTATAGCAATTTAAAGAGGCATTTTACAGTAGATTTTCCCAGTGCAATATGTTGTTTGATTTCTTCATTGCTGCTTCCACTTCCATGAGCTTGATTTTAGATACAAGTAAAATACAATCCTTTACAGCTTCCATCTTTTCTTCATTTGTTGTGAGGTTGTGCATTTGTCCAGTTGTGAAGATTTTTGTTTGCTTTATGTTGAGATGTAATCCATACTAGAGATTATGGTTTTTGATCTTCATCAGTCAGTGCTTTTAGGAAACAAGCTAACGTCATCTGTATCTTGCAGGTTGTTGATGAGTCTTCCTCCAATCCTGATGTTGTGTTCTTTTTCTAGAATAATTCAGCTTCTTGGATTATTTGCTCAAGCATTCAGATTGAATAAGTATAGTGAAAGGATACAACCCTACCTGTCAGAAACAAAATAAACCCCAGACTTAAAGATTGTATAGAAGCTGAGTCCCTTTTAATAAAGGAAAACTGTTCTAGAGGAAACATTCCTTAAAGAGCTTTATTTGAGTTAAGGTTCGGTGCAGTCACATTATTGTGATATTTTACAGTATGTAGTGGCATACGCCTATGACAAATGCCTTTTGTCCAGGAACCACCCTTGCCTCTAACTTCTGTTTACTGGCCTCCATGTAGACTCTAGTGCCCGTCTTCAGAGCGTTGTAGAGCCATTATTCTTACAAAAATGAATCGACCAGAATTCTGACTTTCTTCTGTTCCTCCAGTTGCCAGTGAAATAGCCCTGGTAGTGCAACAGTTAAATGCTCTGCTGCTGACTATGATTGGTGATTCAGTCTCATCCAGCATCTCCTTGGAAGAAAGACCTGGTTATCTGCTTTCTTACAAATTGCAACCTAGAAGATTCATGGGGCAGGTCTACTCTGTTACATGAAGTTTCTTTGAGTTGGAATTGACTCAGTGGTGCCCAATAACAACAGTTAACAGTGTAACATTCGACTTGTATACATCTTTCATAAAATGTGGGCTTAAGAGTCCATAATTTGTTAAGGTCCTTTTCCTGCCTACTAGAAATCTCATGATAAAATTTTGCAAAACCAATGACTTTTTCATTGCAAATACCTTTTTCAAACAACATGAAAGACTATACACATGGAGCTCACTAGATGGCATATACAGAAATCATACTGACTACATCTCTGGAAAGAGACTGAGGAAAAGCTCCAAGCCAGAACCAGGCCAGGGCAGAATATGGAACAGATATCATTTATTCATATGCAGGTTCAGGTTGAAGTTGAAGATAATGAAAACAAGTCCATGAGAGCCGAAACAGAACCTAGAACTTATCCCACTGTAATTTAGAGATCATCTCAAGAACATATTAGATGCATTAGGCACTAATGATCCAAAACCAGATCAATTGTGGGATGACATCAAGAACAATATACAGGAAGAAAACAAAAGGTCATTAAGAAGACAAAGATGTGAAAGACCAAAATGGGTTTCAAAGAGATTCTAAAACTTGCTTTCTAGCATAGAGATGCTAAAGCAAATAGAAAACATGAGGAGGTAAAAGAGCTGAACAGGAAAATTTTAAAGGGCAGCTCAAGAAGACAAAGTCAAATATAACAAAAGTCAAATATAACAAAATGTGCAAAGACGAGTTAGAAAACTAAAAGGGAAAAACATACTCAGTGTTTCTCAAGTTGAAAGAACAGGAAAACATTCAAGCCTCAGCTTGCGATACTGAAGGATCCTATGGGCAAAGTATTTAATGATACAGAAAGCATCAAAAGAAGATGGAAGGAATATACAGAGGATACCAAAAGAATATACCAAAAAGAAGTGACTGATGGTCAACCATTTCAAAAGGTAGCGTATGATCAAGAGCCAGTGATACTGAAGGAAGAAGGCCAGGGTGCATTGAAAGCACTGTCTAAGAACAACTCTCAGGGAATTAATGGAATACAAACGGAAATCTTTCAACAAACCAAGGCAGCAATGGAGGCCTTTATTTGTCTGTGACAATGAATTTGAAAGACAACACTACCTGGCCAGCTGACTGGAAGAGATCCATATTTGTGCCTATTCCCAAGAGAAGTGACCCCATGGAATACAGAAATCATCAGATAATATTAATATTGCATGCAAGTAACATTTTGCTCAAGATAATAAAAAAATGGCTGCAGCAGTTCATTGCTAGGTAACTGCTAGAGGTTGAAGCCGAACTCAGACAAGGGCATCAAATGAGGGATAGCATTACTGGCATCAGATGGATCTTGGCTGAAAGCAGACAATATTACAAGGATGTTTACGGGTACTTTATTGATACACAAAAGCTTTTGACTGTGTGGATCATGACAAGCTGTGGGCAACATAGCAGAGAATACATATTCCAGATTACTTAATTGTGCTCATGTTGTTGTTGTTGTCAGGTGCCATCGAGT